GTTTGATGCTTCACAAATATTGGGTTGGCACCCGTTTGATACCTTAATAGCAATATACAGATCTGTTTATATGACCGTGAACTGAACTCGTTGGACAATTTATAATACATATCTAATAGATGATATTGCAGGAATTTTGCATGCACTATTAAAATTTAAATACATGCTGTTTTATAAACCTCATTCTTTACATATAATCTTTCTTACCTTTGACATTACTTTTTTAATATTGTCACTCAATAGAAGAATTTCGGAGAATATTAATATAAAATTGAAAATAATCAAGTACTAGGCTTGTTGAAAATATAATAAATTTATTGCGCATTATGACAATATTGTATTAATATAAAACTTAATCAACATTTAACACATATCTATTTTATTCAGAGCAAGATATTATTTAATTGTTAATTACATAATCTTCTCAATTTATATTCAATTCTTATTTTATATCATTTTTTATAATCTCGTAATTATAAATATTATAATTTTTTTAGTTTTATATAAATATATTTATCCTTGCTCTATAATAAGATCTGTCATGTCATATGAAGAATTTATTTTTAACGTTTTTTCATTTGCTAAATGCAATAAAGATACAAACGAAATTGGAAAGCTTAAAGCTTCGATATTAGTTTTAGTTAATATATCTGGCAATACTTTATAAATATCACTAAAATATTTACTACTATTCATTTTGTTATCTCTATCTTGTTGCATCGTTTTTCTACTCTCTGTTTCTTGTACATCCTTCTCTGTATTATCTTTTAAACATTTCCAAATAGCATATTTTAATTGTCTCATGTCAACTTTTTTGGGACGTACACTATAAGCAATAGACAACTTATTTGTGAGTTTTGGTATAGCAACTAGATTGTCTCCAGTAAAAGGCATTTGTATTCCAAATATACCCTCATTTTCATATTGTATATCATTATCAACTGTATCATTTTCTTCATTTTGTTCATATTCCTCATTATGGTTGTTAGAACAATGGCTTGATATATCATTTGCATTTATATAATTATAATTTTCTATGTTATCAGATAAAGTAATAACATTCATATTATTTGCATTTCTTGAATTTTTAAGTGTTGTTGTATGAAGATATAATTTACTAGCTTGTACAATATCATAATGTTTATCTGGAGGTAATGTTAATATTTCTTCATTCCATTCTATTTTAACAGTTCTAGTATGCAATTTAGTTAACTGACTTGGTAATAATTTAGTATTCATGTTTTCTATCGTTTTATCATCATAACACAGCTCCATTTCCTTATTTTTCTTCTTTGCTTGTGCTTGACGACATAGATTCTCAAAATTATTACTAAATAAAGTTTTTTTAAAATTAGTTGCTTTCCAGTGAGATGGACCAGCCCAATGTATATTTAAGCTTTTTTGAATAAAGGAATATTCTGAAACTTTTGATGATACTGTATTAGTTAAAACTTTACAAAAATCCACAATATTTTCTACCTGATTAGGTATAATAGCACATCTATCTACATTTTCTTCTTCTGTCACTTCAATATCAAAATAATTCATACCAGTAGATACATGTTCATTGTCATGTACTAAGTTATCATCAAGATCAAATTGAAATTTGCTCCCATTATTTTCTTCTGGAATTACCTCATTTGGTTCATCTATCGTCCAACTAAGAAAATCAAAATAGAATAAAGGAGCACCAATTTGCATGTCTGAAAGATCTCTTATTTCTGGAATATCACACCGTGTATATTTATGTTGCAAGTCTTTGCTATTTATTGTATCTATTAAAATATCATTATAAGGATGTAGATAAAATTTGGAATTTGCATGGTTTGGCAACATCACTTGATACAACATATCTGTGGTTTGTAAATCTGCTTCCATAGTTATTAAAGAAGGTTTCTCAGTTTCAACATTCGTTTTTAAAGCTTCTACAGTGGCAAATATTATTTGTTTATTTTTTTTCTTCTTTCTCTTTTCTTGCTTTCGTTTATCTTGGCTATTCTCTGTTGCTTCTTGACAATCCATTTTTTCCATATTATTTTGATTTTTACTGTCTTTGTCTTGTTTTTCCAGTCCACCAATCATTTTGAGTATATCCATATGTACACCATCAACACGATATCCATAGATTTTAGTACTTACATCCAAAGATGTACTAGCTACTTGCAAATTAGACATGTTGGCATCTTTTTTCTTAATCATATATGTCATAAAATCAATCATTTCTAAGCTAAATGCATTTTTGGTGTTAATTTTATTCTCTGTACCAAGTTTTATACACTGTGATATACGTTCTGCCATTTGAGAAGCTGGCATATTCACTAGAAAACCAAGTCCCAAAGAACGTCTTCTATCATTTAAACTTGTAGAAATGGATGATACAGTATCAGTAATTTCTCGGCGACGAGCCAAACGTTCTGCTTCATCATCATTTTCTGATAAAGCAAAACTGTTTATTTTTTGAGGAACTACAGACTTCCGTCGCAATGGAGAAGAAGATGGAGAGGAATGTATAGTAGAATCCATTAATACATTTATACCCTTACAAGCTGTCATCCTGCTGCTTGGAATTTTATGAATATTAAGCTGAACTTCTTTATCCATATTCCTACAATAAATATAGAAAAATGTATATAAAATAACTCCTTTTAATATTTATATATTTTTTTATATGAATTGTGATGTTTTACTTAAAAATGTAGCTTTAAAATGATTTATAAAAAATGGATTGAATTATGTAAGTAAATGAATCAAAATTATATACAATTATCAATTTTCCAAACTTTTAAAAATACATGAATATTCCTTATGAATATTCAAATGATTTATAAGATCATATAATAAAAAGAACATGTTTGTTCATATATTACCTGTGACATTCTACAATGATTATAAAAATAGAAATATGTATATTGTCAATAACATTTTTTCTTCATAATTATACATTGAATAATAATGAAATTGAGACATGTTTAAAAAAACATGTATTTTGAAAATTATAAACAAAACAGCTCGATGAAGACCATCACACAAATTAATAACGTTTTATTTTATTCTTTTTTCTATTTAATGTTCAATTACGTTTCAAAAGCTTAATTAGTAATACAATTACGTTCGACATATGTATAACATCAACGCTCTACTTTCTTCAAGTTGATGCTAATAGTTACATGAAATGAGCTCATACTTCATAATATATCTGAAAACACACAATATTTCTATGTGTATCATTTAAATACAATATACGTATACAAAATACAATATATCATAAAAATATATTGAGCTGTTATTTCTCGAAAATTCTAAAAAAATTGGCGCGAAATAACTACAAAAGTAGCGATCATAAAACCACGGATATCAAATTCAGAAGATTTTATCATGAAGTAATTGTTTGTAGAGTGCCGAATAACCGAATATATTTCCTATGTAGAGACATCTTTCGTTGAAAAACCGCTTTCAGAAATCAACATCAATACCTTTTTTAATGCTTTTGAGCACGCATCAATAACTTCTGATAATTTCGTGAAAACTAATAATTTAATCGAGACTCGAGACAAATACCGTTCAGAGTATATATTAATGAAAACGTCGAAGAACACACGTGAACATATATAAGAAATATTGTTGTTTTCATTTCTATCGTAAAAAAACGTGGACAACTATGCAATTATAATAATTTAAACAATAAATTTGTAAATTAGAATACCATGGAGGTTCCGTCATCAAAATCCATGCTGTTTGCTTGTCAGTGGTCAGTAACAGTTATTAAATCATAAAATGGTAAGTTGAAATGAATTTTATAATCAATAAATATATTTAATAACTTTGTGTCATTGTGTGACATCAATATGAATACCATCAGTTATACTTAATCTATATTCGTTTTAAATTGTCATACACTATATCTTTTTTAAATGAATTTCATAATAAAATAAGAAATAACTTGTAATTATACAAAATTAGGAATTTATTTCTAAAATCATGTTAGGATTTAAAGAAATTTCATCAGAGCTTATTTACATGCCAGTGTTATAAATTATATTATGTATATGTATGTGTTAATTATAAAACATTTGTTTGCAAATTTCTATTATCACTATCACTTCTTTATGATTATGTATTATATATTATAATTATTATAGGGTACAAATATATCACAATTGGAGAAAGATATTGGCTCTGATCAATTTCCTCCTAATGAACATTATTTTGGTCTAGTTAATGTAAGTATAATAAATTGTAGAAATATTTAAAAATTATAAAATTGTTTTTTATTCTCTGTATTAAAATTATTAATACTAATATTTATATTATTATAGTTTGGAAATACCTGTTATAGTAATTCTGTACTACAAGCTTTATATTTTTGTCGACCATTTAGAGAAAAAGTTCTAGAATACAAAGCTAGAAATAAGAGAACCAAGGAAACATTATTAACATGTTTAGCAGATTTGTTCTACAGTATTGCAACTCAAAAAAAGAAAGTTGGATCTATTGCTCCAAAAAAATTTATTGCCAGATTGAGAAAAGAGAAAGGTTAATATGAAGACATATTTCTAATATAAAAATTGATTTTGTAATTATAATGATATACAGGGTGGTTGGTAACTGGTGGTACAAGCGGAAAGGGGGTGATTCTACACAAAAAAAGAAGTCGAAAATATAGAATAAAAATTTTTTTCTTTTAATCTTTCTTTTTTTCTTTTTTTTAAATTTTTCCATAGAGACAACGATCTACAGTGAGATCCGTTATAAGGTACCGCACGCGTACCGAGCGAAAATTCAAAGTCGATTTTCTCGAAAACAAAGCCTCGAACGAAAAATTTTTATTCTATATTTTCGACTTCTTTTTTTGTGTAGAATCACCCCCTTTCCGCTTGTACCACCAGTTACCAACCACCCTGTATATCATTATAATTACAAAATCAATTTTTATATTAGAAATATGTCTTCATATTAACCTTTCTCTTTTCTCAATCTGGCAATAAATTTTTTTGGAGCAATAGATCCAACTTTCTTTTTTTGAGTTGCAATACTGTAGAACAAATCTGCTAAACATGTTAATAATGTTTCCTTGGTTCTCTTATTTCTAGCTTTGTATTCTAGAACTTTTTCTCTAAATGGTCGACAAAAATATAAAGCTTGTAGTACAGAATTACTATAACAGGTATTTCCAAACTATAATAATATAAATATTAGTATTAATAATTTTAATACAGAGAATAAAAAACAATTTTATAATTTTTAAATATTTCTACAATTTATTATACTTACATTAACTAGACCAAAATAATGTTCATTAGGAGGAAATTGATCAGAAAATATTTAAGTATTTAAATTGTTTATGCATGCTACTTATAATGTATGTATATAATTTTTTACAGAGGAATTTGATAATTATATGCAACAGGATGCACATGAATTTTTAAATTTTTTGATAAATCACATAAATGAAATTATTTTAGGTATGCAAATTTCTTTGCATATGTACATGCATACGTACATGTATATAATAGCAGATCCTTACAATATTAATTTTATGTGTCTGATATTCCAGCAGAGAGAAGTCAAAGCAAACCAACAGGAGGAAAATGTGGTGCAGGTGATGCTGGTTCACCACCAGAGCCTACATGGGTTCATGAAATATTTCAAGGAATTTTGACATCAGAAACACGCTGCCTTAATTGTGAGACTGTATCTAGCAAAGATGAGGATTTCTTTGATTTACAAGTTGATGTAGACCAAAATACTTCAATCACACACTGCCTCAGATGTTTCTCAAATACTGAGACACTTTGTAGCGACAACAAATTCAAATGTGATCACTGTAGTAGTTATCAAGAAGCTCAGGTATTTGGAGGAAAGTTTTACAATTAATAAAATTTAGGAAGGAATTTAACAATACTCCTTTATTCTAGAAACGGATGAGGGTTAAAAAATTACCAATGATACTAGCATTGCATCTAAAGAGATTTAAATATGTGGAGCAATATAATCGTCACATAAAAGTTTCTCACAGGGTAGTTTTTCCTCTAGAGCTCCGGCTCTTTAATACGGTAAGTAGTTTGCAATTGTTATATATTTGTCGGAGATGAAAGGACATCGAAGCCTCCCCTTTGGAATTTCGGGATAATCCCCTAACACCGTAATCTAGATTCTATCATAGGCGTAATTAAACAATTATCGTCTTTCGATCCGATTGAATTTGTTTGAGATTTGTGATAGTGAGCTTGGGCTCAAGGCGACAGCCAGTCGCCGAACGTGGTCGCGGTCACGGGATGAACGCTTTGTCTAACAAAGGTACGAAGTAATCCTATAGCTCTCCTTAAAAGAAATATTTGTAGCGGCACGCGACAGTAAACATTCCAACGGTGTCTGGCCCGTGGCTCGCCACACGCAGAAACATTCCAACAGTTTCTGTCCCGTGGCTCGCCACACGCAGATCCTATTCTTCGGGTATGATGTTTACCAGATGCCGACGCGTCTCCGCAATACGTGATCGGCTAACCCAAGGGCCGTTATAAACACTAAAATCTAATTACCTAAAATCCTTCAAACAGATAAACAGTCTTTGTCCCAGTTTTCCACGAGCGACGTCTCCCACTAGCAACCTTCCCTCGAGGGCGGCTAGCATCTTTTTCTAACCACCGATATGGAGATTGACCAATTAGCAGCAACGCCAATTTCCCTCGCCTTCTGAACGAAAGCTGTCCGTCGAAAATCGAGTAAAGTCAATTAAAGTGTAAAGTCAGTTCAAACCGTTCACATCATCATTCTGTCCGTTAAAATCTAGTATTAGAAAAGTTAATTAAGTTCGAAAGTCCGAGCGTCGAATAACTATTCGAGAATCAAAGCGCTCGCATCGTGACTCGGTCCGTCGAACCCGATTTATGTTCATCTATCATCCCGTTGACCGCGGATTCGTTATTGAACCTAAAATCATTGTCACTAGTTCCTCGAGTATCTAATTACCACGGTTACTTGTCTAATTCTATAATAATCGTATTTGCACTAGTCAATATCTTCTCTATTGCATAACGACATCGTGTAGTCCGAACGAAGATTCGTTTCACGCCCCTAACTCTAATTATAATGTAAACCCGACATATTTGATTGTTTATTTTAACCTTCTAACATTCTAATCTATATTTTTATGCATATAATAATTTATAGAGTGATGATGCAGTGAATCCGGATCGATTATATGATTTGGTCGCAGTTGTGATACATTGTGGCAGTGGGCCTAACCGAGGACACTATATTTCAATAGTAAAAAGCCATGGGTTCTGGTTACTTTTTGATGATGATATGGTTGATGTAAGTCTTATAATTTACATTATAAGTATTTACATTATGTAAGAATTATTTATCTTTATATAAATATTTATATTACTAAATTTTCATTTTAGAAAATTGATGCATCTACAATAGAAGACTTTTACGGACTTACATCAGATATTCAGAAAAGTTCTGAAACTGGCTATATCCTATTCTACCAATCAATAGATTGTAATTAGAAATTACTACAAATATATAGTGATTAAATTAAACAAATTCTATACGATAATTTCGTATTTTATGGAAGTACAATGTATAAAATTAAAAATATTATATGTTAGATTATTTATAAAGTAAAATATGTATAGAATCAATTATATCTTGTTTGTAAAATATATAAAAAACGATTAGCTTCCTGGGCTACCATAATAATTAATGTAAAACTCTAAGAAAATTGATTTCTTTGTAGATACAAAACAACTCATTCTCAGAAGAATTATGTATTTTAATTCTGATGAAAAAAATACTAGTCCATAAAATATTTTGTTTCAGTTAAAGATAACGATAAATTCTATATGTATGTAAAAATATATTACTGAAAATAAAATCATTGTTAACAAAAATTGCATTCTATTTTTACACATGTAGATTAATATAAAGTTTTCATTGCAAGTATTATATTTAAAACTATATTTAAAATATACATGGGAAATAAATACATATACAAATGATACTGATTTTTTCAAAAGCTGTTTATTTCAATTTTAAGCAATAAATTCATATGGAATAGGGGCAAGTGAAATTGGATTTTCACGTCCTGATACAATGTGTCCAGGCCTAGGTTCAGCAGGCTGTCTTTTTAGCTTTACTTTTATGTTCTTCTCCTTCGCCAGTTCCTTAAGTTTTTCGTTATCCTTTACACGTTGCAAAAAGTCTTCTCTACATTTGGAATGAGTTAAATGTTCAATACGAACATTAATTCTTTTGGCAATAATTCGTCCACGGACTCTCTTATTGACAATAACACCAAGAGCATGAGGAGTAACATTGAATACACGTCCAGTTTTCCCATGATAAACTTTATAAGGCATTCCCTTTTGAACAGCTCCATTGCCTTTGATATCAACTATGTCGCCCACTTTGTACACTTTCATATATGTGGACAATGGAATCGTTCCATGTTTGCGAAACTTTCGGGAGAATAAATCCCTCGTTCCTCTGCGATATCCCTTTGAATTTGTCATATCAACTGATTCTGCCTACAATATATGTATTTGTATTAAATCTTTTGCAATAATTGAACACAGTCACAAAAGTATCATTGGTTATGTTAACTAAATATTAGATTAGAATATCTTTTTATATAAATTTATATAGCAACATAGATGATCAAAATATTAAATTTTAATAAATAAAATGATGAAATATAGAATTTTTATCAAAATTTAAAACAAAATTTATTAACATATGCACGAATACTGTCACGTGCACTTGCTTAGGAAAACAATTCAGAATGAAATTCAGCTTTTCTTTCATGCAGATAAAAGTTAAACATAGCGAACAAAATTTTAAGAAATTTTATAATTATAAAAAATGAAACATAAAGCAAATATCGTAAAAGCTTTTTAAAATTTTTCATAAATATTGTCTTAACTTACAAAAGACTAGCGTAACCATCCACGTTCTTCGAAAAAAGAATTTAAGATCGGTATTCTTATACTTATTATTATTACAGAAGAATCGATAATAATCGATACATAGTCGACTTCGATATTTAGTTATATGAAGTTCGTTCATTATACTTATTATTATAATAATAACAAATTGATATAATGAAGTTTTATTCGTTAATTCTCCACTAATTTAACTTAAAAATAAATTTCAAGATTAACACATTTGATACAATTTTTTAGACAAAATAAACTATATACATATAATAATTACGCTGGATGAAATAAACTTTATAATAATAATAAATAACTTCGAGTATAATTTTAGAGGCGTTTATAGCAATTTATAAATTAGAGATTTATAAATTTATAAATTTATAAATAGAGATTACTAATTTCTTAAACTAAAATTATGATAGTTTAGTACTTTACTAGATAGCGCTTTCACTATCAAGCTGATAGCAAAGGAGTGTCCTCTCTATTATTTATTTGATCATAATACCGCTGCATGACAGTTGTTTTATGAAAAAGATTCGTTGTTGGTCATAAGTATTTTACAACTTTACGTTATTTATTAAATAAATTAATAATTTAAATAATAAATAGCATTTTATATTTACAATTAAGTAACATTCAATAATGGTATGTATTTTACATAGTTCTTTTCACGAAACATAATAATATAGTATATCACATCATTATTATGGTATTTGCGGACCTATATTTATCATCAGAAGGGTTAATTTGTACGTGGAATTAAATTATGTATATATTACATATTGATATTCTTTTTCATTTTAACATATAACAACTACAATGAATAAAACTAGTTAATATAAAACATTAAATAATAATAAAAAATTTTTCATATTTTTCATATTTTTCAGTTCCGGAATCAATACGACAGTGATGTCACAGTTTGGAGTCCACAAGGACGTTTACATCAAGTAGAATATGCAATGGAAGCTGTGAAATTAGGATCAGCTACTGTAGGACTTAAAAATAAAACTCATGCAGTCCTTATTGCTCTGAAAAGAGCTTCTTCTGAGTTATCTGCTCATCAGAAAAAGATATTTCCCATAGATAAACATATGGGAATTTCTATCTCAGGTTTAACAGCTGATGCCAGGATGTTGAGGTACACCATAAACCATAATATATCAATTATATTGTGTCATTATTAATAAAAATATAATCATTGTTTTAAAATATTTATTAAATTAAGATTTGAATTTTTATTTATTTGTTTATAGTCGATATATGCGAACTGAATGTTTAAATTATAAATATTCTCATGATGATCTATTACCTGTAAGTCGGTTACTTGCATCCCTGGGAAATAAATTGCAAACATGTACTCAAAGATATGATAGAAGACCATATGGAGTAGGTTTACTTATTGCTGGGTATGATGTAGGTAGATGTGATTAAATGGTTGATTACTATCTGGCAGAAGATAAATTGTTATTAAAGTATTATTAATATTTCTAAAGGATCAAGGACCACATATTTATCAAACATGTCCATCATCAAATTACTTTGATTGTAAAGCAATGGCTATTGGTGCACGTTCTCAAAGTGCTCGTACATACTTAGAGAAACATCTTAATGAACTTTTATCATGTGATCTTGATGAACTAATAAAACATGGTCTTCGTGCGTTAAGAGATACATTGCCAAATGAAGTTGATTTATCAGTAAAGGTAAATGAAAGATGTTCATTCTATTAGTTTCCAATGTTTTTTTCATAAGTAGTAGATTTGTGAAAAAAATAAAAGAAGGCAAAGTTTTACCATCCTTCATATGTAAAAAAATGATTTTAATACATTTTTTAATTTGTCATGGTTTTCGAGTTTTTAGTCGTATTCACCAAAAGGTCATGGAAATTGTATAAAAAATTGTGAAAATTTCTTCTCTCCTATTTTTCTTATAAATTTAGCATATAAGTATTTTTTAAATCTTATGTAAGATATATTATAAGAGAAATTATTTTATTACAGAATGTCTCTATCGCAGTAGTGGGAAAAGGTACAGATTTTAAAATATATGATGAAGATGCAATTTCTGTCTATTTATCTCAAATTGAAGATGACAAACGTAGTAAACCTACTGAACCAGATGTAGAACAAGATTCTAAACCTCCACAACCTCCACCTTCTGATGAAGGTCCACAAGACCCACAAGTTACAGTTGCAATGGACACAGATTAAAAATAATTTACTTTATAGCATATTTTATGTATACATTTAAAATGAATTTGCATTTTACGTTTAAAAATTGTATTTTTCCTCATCATATTCAATACAACAATAGGATGTCATGAATCATGAAAATTTTGTTAATTTTCAATATATATAATATATTTCTTTAGCCACGTAATTACAATTATCTACATGATTTGATAGTATTCCTTTATGTACAGATATACAATAATTTGTACTATTATACATGAATACACAAGTATTTTCAATTACAATTAAAACAAATATGTTTATTGGTTTTCAATCTGTTTGTTTCTACGTTTTTTTAATATATTTGTTAAGAAAAATTCTCCAGCTTTATATGATGAACGCACTAATGGACCACTTGCAGTATATAAAAATCCTAGTTCATTTCCAATATTTTCCCACTTTTTAAATTTTTCAGGTGTAATATATTCAATTACTTTTAAATGTCTTTTTGTAGGTTGCATATATTGGCCAAGTGTCAAAGCATCTACACCTGCTTCTCTTAAGTCTGTCATTGTTTGCTCAATTTCTTCATCAGTTTCCCCTAATCCTAACATTATCGATGATTTTGTAATTAATTCTGGATTGCATTCCTTTGCTGTTTCTAATACCTTCAACGATTGTCTAAAAAATACACGAAAATACATATATTTCTAAGTTTACTAAAAAAAAGTTACAAAAGCTACAATATGTACCTTACCTATATTCAGCTCGTCTATCTCTAACAAATGGAGTTAAATGTTCAACAGTTTCAATATTATGAGCAAACACATCAAGATTAGAATCAACAATTATTTTAACACAATTTTTGTCTCCCCTAAAATCTGGTACTAAACATTCCACTAAAATATTACTTCTGTAAAAATGTAAAAAGCACGTATATAAAATATTTATTTAATATATAATTGCAAAGTACTTTTTTATAATAATAGACAAAATAAGGTGATAAGATTATGCACCTTTTTTTAATTTCCTTCACTGTTTCTGCAATATGACTAGCTCCACCGTCACTTAAATCTATTACGATATATAATTTTGACATAAGAAACATAATAATTTTGGTATATACATAAATTAAAAAATGTACAAACTACTTAACCATCTCTGTCTACCGATGTAAGTACAACATAATCCAAACCCCAATCTGTTATTGCAGTTGCCGTATTTACTGGTTCCTCCGGATTTAATGGTAATGGTGTGCGTGATGTTTTTACAGAACAGAAACGACAACCACGGGTACATGTATCGCCCATTAACTATATTAAATTGTTTTCCACTATTATATTCTCATATATATTAAAGTTACTTTGTCGTTTTTAAATGACACAGCATTTTTGACTTCACATTGTTGTATCTGATATCAAGATGAGTTCAACAATCTACTATACTATGACCTTGACTCCAAACTTCCATTTAATTAGGAGGAATGGAGAATTGTGTATGCTAAGGATTATTTTATAGGTGGATTATGAATAACATAGAATAGAAAAAAACATACTTTGATATTACATTATTTCCATGTATTCGATTACAACAAATACTTGAATTGTAGCCGATGGTTTTGTAAATGTAATTTGGACCGAGGCCGTAAATGTGTAGTAATTGTCACTATAATGCTATCAGAGCAAACTTCCATGTACACTGTACAGATTCACTCCTCTAGATGTTTGATATTTTGAATAAACTCAGGATAGACCTTTAGACTACAGATGACTCCGCAGAAAACAAATCTACTAAGGATCTAAAACAGCAAATCTGTATAGCATGCATGCAAATTTATTCTGACAGCAGCACCTACTACAAACTTATTACATCAGTCAGGATTATATTTACAAAACTATGGGCTATAATTCAAGCATTTGTTATAATTTGAACATACAGAGATAGTGTAATATCAAGGTATGTTTCTTCCTATTTTATGTTATTCATACTCCATCTATAAAATAATTCTCAACATACACAATTCTCTATTCCTCCTGATTAAGCAAAAATTTCGAGGATCATTTCAAAGCCATGGTATAATAGGTCATTAAACTCCTCTAAATATCAGCTACAACAACATAAAGCCAAAAATAAATTTAAAATGAAAAAATAAATTTAAGAACATCAAGGTGATCTTGATATCTTATCGCAAAAACAAGTTTTTGGAAATTTTTTATGTAGCAATTTGCAACTGGCTAGACACCGATTAATTTTTATTTAGAACTTTTTTCTGTTAAACCATCAGAAGTAACCAAAAAATCATAGCATCAATTATGTGTACAACCTGTATATTTTTAATTAAATCACCTTTTAAAACAAAATTACTAAACAATGAGATATATAGAGTTAATAATACAAACCATAATAGTAGCCGTTGCTGTTCCATGTGTACCACCTCCCCAACATTCCCCAATATTAGGACATCGTGCTTCTTCACATACAGTGCTTAATTGTAATCGTCTTAATTGTGACTTTATTCTACTATAATTTTTACCCATTGGGATTTCTGTCTTTAGCCAAGGTGGCAATTTCAATCGAGATTTATCACCTTTTTCTAACTTCAACTTTCCATTATATTCTTTGTAGGTACCAGCAATAAAATGTTCTAAGTTAGGTCCATCCGCTAGTTTTTGAGAAAAAGTTTTTTCTTTGACACATTGCAACTGCTTTGGTACATAAACAATATTAGTATATATTTAAAAATATCAAATATTATGAATATTGCATTAGTAATACTATCATTAGCAATATTATTTGTCAAATACATACTGATGAGTGAAAATTACAAGCAGTAGATATTTTTACTCGACTTGACTTACGAAAAACTTGAAACATGTTTGCTTGTAAATGAACATTCAAATAACCTCTCAAAAATAAAAAGAAATCGGCCTTATAGCATGGAATACTATCAAATACGATAATGAACATCTGTACAAACTAACATTTGCAATTGCTTAATAAATACTTGAATTTGTAGTAGTTTTTTAAATTTTATAATATATACCAACGTTTTCAAACTTGTAATTATTTATTTATATTTACTTATAACTATGAATTTAAAGTAAATATAAAATTTTCCTATCAAATAGTAAAGAATCTTAATAAAAGATTCTATACTTATATATTACATATTTTTTATGTTTTTATTTTTGTATTTGGTTTTAATTTTTTAAGATCATAGAATATTTTAAAATATTTATTGTTTTTAATTTGAAGATTAAAATGGATAATTTAGAGAATTATTTATAAAACATTTCATAAACATTGTTATTCATCAAAAGATTTAATAAAAATATTAATAGTAACGTTTTTCATAAAAATCCGTCCATATTCTACAATAAATTTTGTTAGTTTAGCAACACATACTGACGTAATATCATCCGATCTGTAGAGCTTCTGTGATTGGACGCGGTAAAGGTCGGGTGACTTCGTAATTTGTTAGTTATTACGTTTGACATATCAGTGCTTCGTTTTGTTTTAATCATTGAATTTATTTAATGAAAATAAATATTTGAAAAATATTACGCCACAATGGCAGATCCTGGAGGGTGGACTACTACACAAGATAACGATTTTTCTAATTTTCAATCGAACGACAGCTTTAATTTGAATGAAGTAACTGGTATCGATGGTACGTTGTATTTAATATTTATCAAAATATTTTTTATCATTTTGTTTTAAAAGCTATAATGAAATAGTAATTTCCCCATATTTTTATATTATATTATTTTTATTTTTTATTTGTTACCCATTTGTTTTTATATAATTTTATTTTTCAGTGATTTTTGAGTGAATCTTAAATTTTTTTTATTACAGAACTTCTTACAAACTGTGAAAGTGAATTATTGAAAAATGAAAATTTATTTAGCGACGATGCATTATTATCACAATTGGAAGAGCCTTTAGGCATGGATACAGAGGGATTGGATTTTTTAAACTTTAATAATAGTAAAGAACTAAAAGATTTTAAAGAATTTCATGATTATGAGGATCCAAATATTATCAAATCTGTACCAAGTGGAAATGTAATATTAGCTCCAGCAATAACAGAAAATACACAACAAGTTCCTTGTGTCACTCAACAATCTCAACAACAAAAGCAACGACCACAATTACAGGATATAACTTCTATACAAAATAGAGCACAAAGAATATCTGTCACACCAGCACCTACAGTATTTAGTTCACAATATGCTATACCACAAAACCTAAACTTCAGTGTCCAGTCTCCTGTTGTAACTATAGCACCAGTGACACAACAAAGACAGTTGCTTTTACCAGCTAAACTTATAAAATCAGAATCAGTTGTTTATTCTAGGGGATCACAAGCTGTTAGTTCAACATCTGTACCACACCAGATACATACCTTAGTAAATACTGCTAATGGAACAGTTTTAACTGCTGGTAAGAATATATGACGTCATGAGATTTTTATTAAATTTATTATATCCTAATTTTTATTAAATTTGTTATATTCTAATTTTTATTCAGGTATTCCAGTTGTATTAGATACTGACAAGGTACAGATTAATCGATTAAGTACAAATACACATATAGGTGTACCAAGAGTAAAAGAAGTAAAACGTAGTGCTCATAATGCCATAGAACGACGTTACAGAACATCAATTAATGATAAAATCATTGAATTGAAGAATATCATTGTTGGAGTAGATGCTAAACTGAATAAATCAGCAATTTTGAGAAAAACTATTGATTATATTAGGTATATTATGTTAATACGTGTTTGACTTTTAAAATATTTGTTATAAATTGACGAAAATTTTTATTAGAAACAATGAAAATTTTAGGTTTCTTCAAAATTCTAACGCAAGATTAAAAGCAGAAAATATGTCGTTAAAATTAGCTGCTCAAAGGCAAAATTTGCGCGATTTATTAGTATGTGGTGAACTTACACCACCTAGATCAGATTCAAGTGAATCATCTTTATCTCCAGCACCAGCACCATTATCTCCTCAATCTCCTTCATCTATAAAAGATGATCCAGATTTGTTACAAAATGTTGATTCAACATCTGTTCTTACAAATCAAGGCATGAGAGATCATACTAGGCTTACGATTTGTGGATTTATGCTCCTCTTTTTAGCATTTAATCCTTTAGGTTTTTTGATAAATAATGTTGGAAGATTCAATTCTGATTATGTAAACACAAAATTGGATGGTCGTACAATTCTTAATTATCAAGGTATCATAATATAATAATTACAATGCTATTACATTATAATATACAGTATAATAATAATGTTATCATATTATACTAATTGTTATATATGTTACTATGTATAACGAGTAATACTATTATTAACCTTTTTGTAGATCAATCAGATCTTGAAAATCCAGTGTGGAGCAATGTGTTTTTATGGCTAACAAATGCTATACTTTTAATTGGTGGACTTTGCAGACTATTGCTATATGGTGATCCAATACTACCATCTGACAGTAAAATTTTCCTTGAACTTCATCGATGGAGACGTCAAGCAGAATTCAATATATCGAAGAATGAATATAGTCAAGCATGCCGAGATTTACATCAATGTTTGCAATACTTAGGCCGACCATATCCATCATCACGCGCAGAAATTTGGCTTGCAACTATGTGGCAAATTATAAGACAACTTCTTCATAAATTATGGATTGGAAAATGGATTTTGTATACTCATAAATGGTTTTCTGAAAAAACTACACGACAACAAGCAGAGATATCAGCTATGGAAATGGCTATTATTTATCAGCATATGTTATGTCTACATTTATCAGAAGGATCAAAGAGTGGAACTCTGTATCTTGCTCTTTCTGCAGTGAATTATGCAGAAGCCACTGGAGAAACTATTCCAAAATCATTATTAGCAGAAATATATATCAATGTTGCATTGTGTTTCAAGCACTCGTTATTTCCATTTATTCATAAATATTATTTGGGCAAGGCACGCACTTTATTATCATCATGTGCAGTTCCACCAAAATTAAAGTGGATAATGAGTGATGAAGGAGCTAAATTTTTAGCATTTCAAAAATGGCAATATGGAGAACAACCAGATAATGAATTTACTTCTCAAACTAGTAAAGCTGATCCTTTATCATATGCTTCACGTGCATATAGAGATTATTTAATCGGACATTGTTTACGTATTTTAACCGGTACTGTTGGAGATGCTCATTTATCTTCAATATTAGAATATGGACAAACTATTATGGCTTCTGCTGGAATAGATGCTGGATTTTTATGTACTGACAAAGTTACAGTTACACGTAAGTTTAAATAAAATCTTGTTTAATGAGTTCATTGGTGGTATTGGATGGCATTAAATTTCTTCCTTCCTTTTTTTTCTTTAACTAATAAATAGAATTTGGTGAATTAATGTTTTAGATTGCGAAGATGAAATTGGATTATGGTGGGGAGCAGTTATATATGTAGCAGCATGTTGGAGATTGAAAGAAGACGATTCACAAGCATGGAGCATTGTTGAAAGCAAATTTCCTTATGAAAAATGTTACCAACTTTGCAATAATAATAACAGTATTAGTCCACTGCCATATGTTGTTTTGAATGCTTTGCAAGCAGCAAAAGCGACTACTAAATCAGTCTCTATGCGTTTTATTGATCAGGCAGGAATATTGCTTGAACAATGTTTGGTTTATTATAATTGCAAGCAACAGTCATCCCAAAACGTTTTGGTAAGATATTTAAATATTATGTTTATAATATATTAATATATTCAATTCTTTTATACAAAAATTATTATAATTACTTATATTTTTTTGTAATGCTTTTATTTTACATAGATAATAAAATTAGAAATTATGAAATAAAATATTTAATTCTTTTTATATTTTTTGAAATTTATGATCTTTGAAAAATCTGTTTTTCATGTTATTTATCTTCTCAAAATGAATATCATTACACATTTTTTCATAAAACAAAAGAAAATGATCAAATAATGAATTATATATGTAGTAACTTTAAGTATATTATAGTATATATTTATGCAATTGCTTACTTGTTACAAGTGTGCATTGTAGTTGCATTGCATGAAATATAACTATGCAATACTTCTACAGTGCAACTTCTGTGGCAGGTCTCAGCGTCATATGTGATAGATAAATATATATATATATAGGGTAGACCAAATAAAATGTTATAGACTGTTTTCTCTATTGTAGATATTTTCTTTCTTTCCTAAATTAAACAGGATAGAGGGGTAATCATTTGAAGTGCAATAAATTTTTTTAAGACTACTAAGAAAAGTTTAAAGGCAGCCTCCTTCATTTATCTTAAATGGAATGAGGTATTCATTTTCTTTATTTAGGTAACTCTTATCAAACAGAGTAACATTTACTTGAAACACTTCTTTTTATTCTGCACAATTAAAGAGATTTAATAAATAATTCAATGCAGTTCTAGGTACATTTAGAGCTTTTGATAAACATATTTTTTTACCTATTTGTTTGATAATAGAAAGGTAATTTCTTGAAATATTTTATGAACAATGTTAATTTTAAATTCTTTAGAGAGATGAACCTTATTATTTAATCATCTTCTTATATGATGATTAAATATTTAATATGCTGATACATAAAATATAAAGTGATAGTACTCCTACAATGAAGGAAAATATAATCATAAAAGTATTTACTGCGCATACATTGGTTATTTCATTAATGCTATAAAATGCTTAAAATAGTATTTATGAAAGACTTAATAGGTGTTTAGAAATCTAAAGACATCATTTTAAACATTTATTAAAATAATTCTCACTTTAGAATACATTTATGTACATATTTTTCCTCTCCTTTCTTCTTTTTTTACCTTCTGAAGTTTCTCTTAAGAAAAGTATGTATTTTTCGCCATAGCTCTTTAACTGTGCAAAGTAAAAAAATATTCAAGTTAAATATTATTCCATTTAATAAGAGCTATTCGAACAAAGAAATGTTAATATCTCACTCCATTTGAAAAGGGGTCCTCTTTACCTATGTATAATAGTTTTCCTAAAAAATTTTTTACATACCAGATGATTTAACAACTCCTTTGTCCTTAATTTAAAAAGAAATGAAATGATTTCTGAGAATTTGGCTTATAATATTTTACAGGATGGTAGAAAATGGAATCAAAACTTTTTCTTGGGAATAGATAGCACTTAACAGTTCCTGAATCCAACAAATCAATCAAATCTACAAAATTAATAATAATTTTCTTATTAGCTTTGATTATTTTTTTAGCTTACTCAATTGTGGATTTGTGATTGGTTACTTGAAATGCGAACTACGCTTTGGCAGGAATTAGATAATGATTTAGAAAAATTAACTACAAATATATCTCTTGGAGGTTTTCAACGTGATTTAGCTTGTTTGAGACAATTATGTCAGCATATTCCAGTAAGTTTACATATATATTTTAATATTATAATTTATAAGTTAATTATTATTTTTAACAATTGTCATGTACTTTTTAGTCTACTTTAGCGAGAGTATTTGTTTATGAAGCCACAACACGTATAATGGCGGGAGCAACACCAGTGAAAACTCAAATATTGTTAGACCGTAGCTTACATCACAGAAATTCACGTTCTTCAATTATCTGTGGAAAAGATCGTTCGCAAGATCAATATACTGGAGAAAGAGAACACGCGGTAGCTTTATGTTTAGCTTGCCGACATTTACCTCCACTATTACTAGCCTCTCCTGGAGAACGTGCAGGCATGCTTGCAGAAGCTGCTAAAACTCTTGAGAGGGTAGGTGATAGAAAGAGACTTCAAGAATGTTACAAATTAATGAGGCAATTAGGACCAGCTATCTCTGCTAACTGATATATTACAAGTATAAGAATATACCTCATTCAATCTTGTCTTTTACATAGGTTTGTCTCTTTCATGACTCATTGTTGTAAACAAAGTTTGCAAAGAAATTAACGGATCTAACATGGTTTCTCTCTTTGTACTATTTCACGTTATACTAAAACAAACGTTAAAATAAAAGACAGGCAAAAAGTATAAATATGCACTAGTTATGTATATGTATATAGTGTATAGTATTATGATATCACATAGAGTATAGAGTAAAAGAAAGTTAAACTTAAAGGCTTAAATTGAACAGCTGATTTAATTTATATCAATGCACATTGTGCAAGATTGTTGTACATAAATTATAATATTTACAAACAAATTATGATATTCTTAACGCAACTAAGACTTTTAAATAACTTGTGTTAATTTGATATTTTCCTTTTCAATATAATTATTTTGTAATTTAATTAATGCGTCTGTCATTGCTATATATATCTGTGTGTGCATAATATGATGGTATTGAAGTCTGTAAATGATATGTTTGAGTTTTTTCAAAATATATAATTTTATTATAAGTTTTCATTACTTAAGAGATATAAATTGGGATTTAAGAGATATAAATTGATATAAATATCTCTATATATACTACATGTAAAACTAATACATTAACATACAAAATGTAGCTTTATAATTAAGAAATGATTAAACTTAATTATTATTTAATAGAATATATAAACTATCTTAAATACACACTGTTTTAAATATTCAAAATAAATTATAAGAACAATTTTATATAAAAATAAATGAGATCGGAAATTAAATTATAATGTTTTCCTCATCTTTTCTTTATTTATAGACACCTATTTTTTAAATCAATTTTCACTTCATTTACAACATCAAAAATTTAGTGAAAAAGATATGTAATATTTAATTACATTTATTTTTTGTAAAAAATAATGCTTGCTACAATATTTTATGAGTGTAAAGATAATTTGTATATAATAATTCTACCAAAGAAATCTGTACTTTCATTAAATACAAATTTAAAAGTTTTTGCTTTTACTGGATTTGTCAAAATGAAAATTTGTATCGTATTTTTGTCTTCTGGATAAAACGACTCATGAAATTTAGTTTCTTTATTACCAACTTCTAAATGACAATTTTTGCCAACAAATCCACCTTGAAATTCAATTTCAAATGAACTTATTTTATATTCTTGTTCAAATTCAATAATTATCCACTGAAGAGTTCCCTGTAACATACAATATGTACTAGTAGTAATAATATATGTAAGAATTATTTATTTAATACATATTTTTCTTTAAGTATAACTTAAAAAAACTGTAAAAGATTTATTTTATCACTTCATCATCAAAATGTATTACTTTAAAACAAAATAATAGGTAAGGAATATATTAATACATAACAATATAGGAGGAAAGTACAAAAAAGATTTCCTTACCGCGTCAGAATTCCAACAAGTTTCAGGACAATTATCGAACATGTAATTTTTCCCATAAGATCGATTATTCTTGTTCAAAACTGAACTAACCCTAGATAAGTAACATATGATAAATATAACTTTTGTTTATATAAAACAAATTTCTAATTATTTTACATATCGTGACTAATATCTTATAAAAATATTTTGTTTTTCATAGATATATACCATGAAAATATTACAAAAAATTTGAGTAGTTTAATCACAATATGTCTATATATATGTATATATATATCTTAAATAATAGCTCACCGACACTCGAATTTATATTGTTTCAATAAACACGTCATACTAAAATAAAGCTAATATAATACATGTGTAACTTAACCTCGATTGAATGTAAGGTTACGTAGAATGAACTTATGTTGAGTATTGTCTATGCAGTTTTCACGATATACTACTACAATATTTAAAGTCAATTCTCAAATTCAAAGAACTTAAATGTGGGGAGGTGCGTTAAAATAAGCAATAAAAAATGCAGCAAAGATGTAGCCTTTGATTCCTGATGTACATATACTTCTTAAGAAGTAACCAATTTGATGTACATGCCTTCTAAAAATCTGTAGAAGTCTATAAAATTTATGCACAGGTACTATGCTATTATGTACATATATCAACAAATTCAAAAAACAAAAAACAACTTATAAAACAAGAAATGTTATACATTTAAAACTATTATAATTTAATGTATTATACAATATAATTTGAAGTATTATATAATTCCAATAACTCTTGGAAAAAGTAACAAATTTCGGTTTAAGTTTTTACGATCTTCTTTTACAAATTACTTATATCCTTAATTATTTATATTCTTATTCGTCCGATCAGATTGATCATCGATTATATGTGTATGTCACATGTATATATGCATATATATAGTATATTGCAGCTCAATATTTTTCGTATTGCGTCATTGGCTACTCGATAGTCGACGACGACTATACTACAGCGGAGATAGTCGTTTAGTAACGTAGTAACACTCCGATGTATAGTATTTAAAGCTTAACACGTTCAATACCATGGGGGTCACCGGTGACCGGCGCACCAAGATTAGTAGAAATACATAATTTGAACAAATGTCAATAGTTATAAATTTTTTATTATTACCATTATTACTACAATGGTGTGACGAAATTAGTGCAGTATAAAACATACAAAAATAGTTTTATTATTATATAGTTGTGTAAAAAATGTTTTCGGGATTTTAGTACAAAGCTGCAAGTATATTATAATTATTCCTTTAAATATAATATAATGTAAATATAAATATAATATAATGTGGAATCAGTTGTCAAGATCGTGAAGTCACATGTATCCTACATAATTCTTTGATGACAGAAAACCCCTTATTTCTAAATATGATGTGAAATAATCAGAACTCTTAATATTACATTGTCAGCTAATCCAATCTGGTAGGATAGGTAAAAATGCCAATGCAGATGCTTTTCAAGTAAGAAATATATTTATGCAGTTCTTTAATTTACTTTTTGGTGCCATATCTTGGCAGACTAATCATATAAGTTTAAGGTTACATGAATATGACCATTGATATGGTCTGTTAAACTAAAGAAGTTTAAAAAAAGTAAGCAGGCTATGTAGATGTATTAAAAAGGATTTTTATGAAAAACAAAGTTGTTGTGTTAACATAAGTTAAGAAAAATATATAGTATTAAGACTAAGTATGTACAGTTTTAGATTATGGTATAATTACTGTATAAATTGTAAAATACAGTCATCAAGCTTCCTATAACACAGTTGGTTAGTACAACTCAGAGGGTTGTCCAAATTTATTAAATCTTGCTATATAGAAACAATGTTACAACAATATCGCGTTATAGGAGGATTTTCAGAATTTTTGCACTGTGTTACAAAAGGGTTAAATATACAAACCATTCTGCAATCCATGTTTTGCTGCAATTTGTTTCCAGGCCTTTCCTTTTAATTCATTGTCTTTGTACACCGTTGCGTCTTTATCCCATACACATGGATATTTTCTGATAGTCTCAATAAATTATTCAGTTTCTGTTATACATAAGCTGTTTCTGTTATACATCACTAGTCGTAACAAATTTAAACTGACAATTGACAAGTAGAACAATCGAAAAACAGTGGTAGCACGGTCGTATACACACGTTTGGCGATTTCTGTGGTGGGGGTAAGGTTCTTAATCAAAGATGAATAGAGGGTCACCAATACTTCTAGGCATAATACAGCCAAAAAATGGATACTGAGAATAAGGGCCTCTAGTAGTTAGTGGATCGCTTATTTTGTGTTCGGGTTGGGAAATATGCGTCGGTGGCTTGTATCGATGAGTAGCGGAGGAGAAATGTGTACATGACATGGAGCACGGCTAAAGCAAACATACACTGTTAGCCATAAGTACTAGGACTTTTATTGATATTTAGTATAAATTACATGCTACTCATCGTTTTCATTTTCTATTATTATATTATACAAAACATATGAAAAACATAAATCAAAGCAAATAGAGAAGTAGGAAGCACCCGATATCTGAAAAGTCACCTAGCTGTGAAATATGATATGCTGTGCCTACCATAAAAAATGTTATTACATTTACTTCATAAGCCTGTTTTGTATGCAAATCAGACGTATCACTTGTATTAACTTCTAAATTTATTTTCATCATATCCTGCAGCTTCAACAATTTCCTCAAGCTCTCTTATGAATATAGAGGCTCCTTGTGTCCTTGTCTAATAACACATGCACATTCGCACAGAAAATATGTATGTGTATACCGATCGGTTACCGGCAAACGGTATTAGTCTGCATTCTTGATTAGACAAGGACTGAAGGAAAGGGTCTCTATGCAGCGTTGTTTTTCTATTGTCATATCGTATCCCTTACACGGTAACATATGTATGACATATGACTTGTATATTATATCTTCATATCTTCATGGCCGGTACGAACTCTGAACGTAGAGGCGATAATTCGTAGTGCGCACTTTTCGGCTCACTTTTTTATCATTTCCCCATTCATTTATGGCGATAATTTAGGAAATATATATACGTATGTATGTCCAAATAAATTTTATTACTAAATTCTACTATTGTAATAAATATAACATAATCATTTTCAGTAATCACTTAAAAATAAAAAAAATTGATTATATAAAGAGTAAATTAATTGCTTTAGACTCAAAAGATTAGAAAATAATATAGGTCTTAAAAAGTAAAATCAAATGATAAAAAGAATTAAAAGTGTTTTATAAAATACAACAATGGATAAAACCAATGTGTTTACTTCTTTATATATATATATTTGCTTTAAACACATTTACCAGAAATTAACTCAAAAATGTTGTATGATTGTACTGATTTTTAATTTTATTCATAATAAATTAATAGCTATAATAATAACTATAGAGTGATAGAATATATAAAGATATGCATATAAAATATAAATGTAAATAATTTGCTCTTAGTATTATTTTGTACATCATAAAATTGATAGAGATAAATATTTCTACATCAATATATTAAAATACATTCTTATTTATTAATTTATTTACATTAAATGTTCCTAAGTGTATTTGAGAATATTTACAAATTATATTCTCATAAAATTGCATTTTAATTAAATGTGTTTATTTGTATTTCTCCATAAACTCTTCTATAGTTTTATTAAGCTTACAATTTTGCCAATCAAGAGAAATATCATCAAGATGATTATCAAAATCAACAAGATTTCTATATTCTTCTGCTTTTAGTAGGGAGTATAATACATCTGTATGAGTTACTCCTTTATCATATAATATACTGTAAAAATCAAAACAATGTGTATCAATCTAAACAATAAACATTAAAAACTATTTGAAACAAATATTAAATATATCAAACTAATTACTCTGTTACATCTTTAAGCTTCCATTTGCCATCTACAAATTGTGAAACTCTCAAGGGATTTGAGCTCATAGCAAGTGTAATTTCTTTATTATCCACCTAATAATATGAAAAAAAGATAATAAGACAATTTTTAGTTCAATTTTTTACAAAACTTACCACTACAAGTAAAGTATTGCCGCAATTTTCTGCTATTTTATCCGCTATTTTATGAGCAGGTTTATCTGTACTGTATTAAAAGTTGCATAATTAAATTATTGTTAAAAAATTCAAATAAAAGATTAAATTACCTCAAATCATTTATGTTTTCATTTGCTAAGTAGTAACCTGCTAATACTAAACCTTTACTAATAGCATATTGATCAACCTGAAAAGATTTTTTCTCCATTTTAGTTTAATGTTTACATCATAAAGAAATTTGAATCATATTAAACAATTTTATAATGATTAAAATGTTTCTTACGATATAAACTAAAATAGTTGTGATAAAATATATTCACAAGTTTATAAAAGATATATTTATAAACTTGTAAAAAATTGTTAGTACTTTCGAAACGATAAATACTCATGTAACAACATTTTTAATATTTTACATAACTACTTCATAAGTTGAATCTATTAAATATACTGTATCTAGATAATTCATTAAAATAAAAATTAATTTAACTGTTACCGTATATTAATTAAGTAAAGTGAACTTTATGCGATATTTAAATATTTACCATGGTCAAAGCAATTTCCGCCATAGGTGAGACATGAAGACAAATATGAAACAGTGGAATTACATCCTCAATATGTAATTCGACAGATTTACTGTCACTTTTACTATTTTGTTTGCCTAATAACAATCCATTTATTGCGCAATGTGGATATTTAGCAGCGTGTAAGATGATCTTACAATATGCACGACTAGAGAACGAGATATCTGCCATTTTTCTTCAACAACAAACGATAGAATCGATAGTAGTGAATTCGATATAAACCAGTCATATATATAGTCATATGTTATATACATATGTTTATGTATATCGCTACCATGCGTTTTCGGCTTTGTGTTTGACGGCACAAAATATAAAAAGCGAAATAAAATTGTCTATATGTTACATGAAATATGGAACATATCTAATGCATATACATATATTATTCGAAGAATGCAGGTGACAAAAAATCGTAGTTCAGATGATAAATAATACTCTATTGGGAAGCTCCAAATTTCATTATTTTAGATTGCAATAAATTAAAAATTTAGATTGAACTACGTACGATTACTAAAAACGTTTTATTTTCTGAAGGAGATATTTAATTTTATTATACAACTTATATTTCAGCAATAAGAATATCGTAAATTCTGCTAAAATTTGAATTTTGTATATTTTTATTTTGTACATGTACAATTTTTCTCATACCGAGTATGCGGCGAAATACTTTTATCCCACTGATGTAGGGCATGATCAAAAATACTGTGTACAAAGATGTTCTGACAACGGCTGTAAACATGAAAATGTATTTCCAATGATTATACAAATATTTCTTTGGATACAATAAAGATGGACAAGCATTAGTTTTATGACTAAATAAATGTATTGAGTTTGAGAGGCAATATCTTGAGCACATATTGAAATAATAAATAACATAATTCTAGGGTTTATTTTGTTTTTGCAATTCTTTCTTACGTAGGCTCCCATCAATCTTTTAATTATAAAACTTTTGGCTTAAATCATTCCAAACTCATGGCACAGAACATGATTAGATATATTTTGTCCTTAACTTTTTAATGGTAAACGAAAAAATAGGTCATTCCATTTAAAAAATCATTACAATTAGTAGAATTTCAGAAAATATGGCATTGAAATGACTTTCACTCTAATTTCCCGCTTAATTTCCCGCTTGAAATAAAGTAACTTTCTCTCGAAAGACTTCTTTGTATCGTGACAAATAAGAAAATAATTAAGAGTACCAGAGTTAAATGGAATACTCTGTATATCTATATAGCAAAACATAATAGTGTCTCGTCTCTTAAATAAAATATATTACAAACAAAATATTTTTGTTACATGATGTTATCTATATAAACAAGATCTGGTGCACGACCTCGAACCTCGAAAGAGAAGTTAGGATAGAAACACCCAGAAAGAAAGAATTTTTATTGAATTCGATTGATTCGATGATTGAATGATATAATTGTATTTTGAATGTTCAAGAACTTCATAGGTACCAATCTATGTAAAAATAATTCCCTTAGTGAGTGCAGAAATACGTAATCATGGTCATATAAACCGCGATTTGTAGAAGTTGGTAATAAAGAATATATTTTTTAAAGTTATATCTTGTAGTTTTGTTTACTTCTTGAAGTGGTTTAAAATGGAAAATATTGAAAAGGTTATTAATCTTTTGCATAAAAGGAAAGTTGTTCGTGATGAACAATTCGCAAATGAAGAGAGAAAGCAAATTACAGAATACAGTAATTTGATGAATACATTGCAGACTATAAAAGGTCTTTATTTCTGTATCAAACAAAAAATTGTTTTTAATAATTTTAGAATTAAAATTTAATATGTCTATTACAGATGAACGTAACGATTGCAAAGATAACATTATTAAACATCTTCAGTGTTTAACGATACACAAACATTCCACATATAAACTTATTCATAATTCAGAGAATATTCCAGGATTACCAGTTTCTCACAATTATCATCGGTATTATTATCTTTTTATTATTACAAATCATTTCCTAAATTTGATCTTTTTAGGCAAACAATAATGTTTTTATCGGAGGGGATTGATTTTATAAATAAATTACCAAATATATATACAAATCTAGATACCAATAACAAAGAAAGTACTATTAATTCTACAAATCTTCTTCATGATATTGTAGGTTTATTGCATGTTCATTATAGAGGAAAAAATGAAGATTTCAAACCCATAATGTCTCATATATATTCTTTTGCAGACATCTTGTACAAATAGTGTAGGAAGTGAACTTTGTAATATAAAGTCTCTAATTACAGATGTAAAAACATTGCAAAAAAATACAGATATATTGCAGGAGTATTGTTTAGTTAATAATGGTAAGTTTTATGTGATTAGATGATAAAAAATGTAAAAAATATTTTTTGGTATCTTAGTTTTACTTTTCAATTAATTAAAAGTTATTACTTATTGATTGCTTTGGTAGTTATAAATATTTAAATCATAATTAAGTTATTATCTAAATCATGATACTTATACAAGATTTTCTAACTATCTATTTATAGATGGGGATATGGATATCTAAACAAATAATGTCTTACACTTTGAATGAGAAAAATACATTTTACTCCTTACTCCTTACAGCAATAAGGTAATACTTTTAAATATTTGTATATAACTTTATTTTTAAGTATTAAAGATATTGGTTGCAAATATTAAAGTCTTGTATAAATTATGATTTTAAAATCTTTATAAAATATTAATTCAAAGCTTTACATGTATTTATTAATAAATTTAAAGTCATCATCAATGTTTAATTTCAACATAATTAAATTTGGATCTACAATACTCTGCAACAAATAAATATTTTAGATAGCACAATTAATAAGATACAATAAACTAAAATTTAATAAACTAGTAGTATACATTTATATATATACATGTATATATGTATATGTACCATTAATTCTGTAGTGATCTCAGATTTTGATTGTATTCCAGAGGAAGGTATTACCTCATTCTGAAAGTTATGTGAAACATCCCTTTCTGGTCTTTCAGTTTCATAAGCAGATAAGACTCCTTTAATTTTATCTCTGTAAAATAAATACACTTAGCAGCAACAAAGAGAACTTATAATATTTATCATTATAACAAAATAATGATAAATGTATAATTTTAAAAAAAGGAAGTACTCTTAATACACAAATATATAAATATTCTTACTTTGTAACATTATATCTTTCAGTTGCAACTTTTTTTTCTCTTTCCATCAATGCTTGAATTTGTATTTGTAGCTGATTAAATTTTTCTTTATTCTGATTTTCTAAACGTTTTGCATTTTTTAAAGCTTTTACTCCTTCTTCCTTTTTAGTTAAAGCAGACTATAAAATGTTTAAATTAATTTATAGTAATGGAAAATTAAATGTTTTTAAAAATATTACCTGCGTAAGATATTCAAGTTCTTTGGCATGTAAAATGAGTAAATTTTCCTTATCTTGTAGAATTTG